ATGCCTTCTTTTATTTCTTTTTTTTTTCTTTTTTTTTTTTTTTTAAGTGCTACTGTTATCAACTCAATTGGATTATTTCAAGAATTCCTAAATATTTCATTTTGCTTGTTTAGCATAAATTCATGTTATTTGCATTCCCTTAAAAATTATAAGTAAAAGTTGTAATTATAAAAATATTAATTCTTTCTTTTGCGTTTATTTTCGGATTCCATTGCTTTTTGTAAATTTTATTTCATTCACTGTGTGAAGGCAATGAGAAACAACTTGCATAATAGCAAACAGTTAAGTGTCTGTCACTTTATAGTATATTGAAAGATCTTTCTCCATAAGAGAAACTACAAAGAGCTGTCTCTTAGTTTTGCCTCTTCAGCAAAACAGGTATTACCTATATATGACTTTCAGACATGGTCTTACCTACCTTCAGTTGTTTTAAAAGTTGTATACATCCCATCAATTTTTCATCCTTTTGTTAGATACAGGATGGAATTGAATTTTAACTCCATTCCATTTAATGTGCATTTCTCATTTCAGTCAGCTAAGGAGGAAATAAGCCCTGACTGGAGACTGGAGAACTGTTTCTCACTACCAGTGATCACCTGCACAGTGTGAACACAGTAGCACAGTGTCAGCCACAACACAGCAGTTCAGCACCACACTTGTAATCTATTCAGATTGGTATCTGGCTTCTCCACAGTTTGTTCAAAGCATTTTGTTCCTCACCTCATCCTTAATCTGGTTTCTATTTTGAAAGCATACTTTATTTCCTTAAGTGTAGAGTTTAGAGTGGAAATACTGTCGTGTTTCCAAGTCCTGTAGCAGCATTAATATATAAGTATTGCTTTAATACCATTTATTCTGGTCCACAACTCTTTTCTGTTAGAGTTCAGTAAAATAACACAGAAATACAAAATCAAAGAAACTACCTGATCTTGCCTGAAGTCTTCACTCAGATTCCATCTTTAATAAATGTTAGAAACATTTCCTGGGGCTAATCATCCTGTCAACAGTAAATTAGAGAGTTATTTGTTAGACAAAAATGAAGACATGAAAATAATATATTTTTAAGAATAGGCAGCTATTTTAAAGGCAGTGTTGTATTTTTTTTAATTTACATTTTCAAATGTATTTAGTACTTGCAAAATTCACTTAACATTTTTACCATTGCTTTCTGTGCAGTATCAGGCTGCCAAAAAGAAAAGGAATCCTAAGATAAACATCCTTTGCACTTGTTTTTGTCAGATCTGAAAGTGCAAAAGTGGTGAATGATTTGTACTTTGTCCTCCTAATCTTAGCAAGTCGGCCCTTTCTGCAGCTACAGTCATTCAGAAACTGTTGCAAAGGTGTAGGGGGAGCTGAATTTCGCCTGGAGTGTGCATTTATTCCTTCCTCTCGAGAAACTGAGTTGTTGTGGAACATCAGTCTTCCCTTTCCAAACTTCCAAACTTGCCCTTGTTATCCTTGAAATACTAACATTTTTCCCTAAGATTCCATTTTTATTAGATTTGTGTTTCTGTCTCCAGCTTTTGCACATCAGTGGCTCATCCTGGCTTTAAGTGAATTCAGAGTCCCAGTAATCTTTGGAAGGGAGGATGAAGGCAATATTTTCTCTCTCTGCTTATGGACTGAAGTGAAAGGCCCTTTCATGCCAGAATTTTGACTGCTCAAAACAGTCCCAAAAATGTCTTCCCTGATCATCTTCCCAAGGGCTCCAACGCCCTAAAGCTCTGCAATAGCTGTGCTGTCTGGAAACAAAGCTATTCCTTCTTAGTCATTATAGGGATGGGGTTTGAGCTTTGAAAGGATAAAACAGTCAATGTCCACAGGGACTGGGGAAATAGAAAGTATTAGCAATCTGCATTAAATTGTATTACAATTATTCCTGGAAGATAGGAAGGAGATATTGATGGAACATGTGATTTTATTGTACTCCAGCTCCCACTTACTATGCAAAAAATATTATCCACAGCCTGTGAATCCACATGGGAAATGTATAGGAGATGTCCCTTGTGAAACATGAGTGATAAGTATTAGTAAAGTTTAACTGTTAAGTAATAATTACGCACTGGTAGTGCATATCTAGGCAACAGTTTTGGGGAGTTTTCCCCCATATTACTGATTACTGGCTGTTCCTTTAGTTAAAATTTTATATATACATTTTGGAAGAAGAAATACTATGCAAGACTAGTAAAATAGTCAGTACTAAGACGGTAGTGTTTTTCCTAACAATATTTTTTTAAAAGAAAAACAGCATGAACCAGGACCATCTGCATGCTGAATTCGGGTTGATCTCATCTGTGTGTAGCATCAGGCTGACCTTTCTGCTTTCTGCATTTACGCTCTGCAGAGTCTTGCAAATGGAAACAATAAAACTGGGCTCACAGCATGCCTGCTTTAGTTGTCGTGGCTGTATGCTGACCTATGGAAATCACTACACTAGTCTTAAAGGACAAGTAAACTACAAAAGAATTGGAATAATCTAGGCAAAAGCCATATAGCCACTTTTTAAGTTTGTCCATTCCCTCTATATTCCTTTGTCTTTCATTGTTTTTCCTTAGGCAGCCTTTAAACTATAAGGCTAAAACCTTTCATGTCACTCACTTACTTGAGAATGATTGTCTTGGAAACTGCAAAAGTTATTTTTCAGCACAAAAGTGGAAAAAAAATGAAACTGCAGGAATAAACAGAAAAATTTATTCCCTTACAAAATTAGGGACAGGGAATGAGTATCAGAGAATGCTTTGTCTTTGTTGTCAGGAAGGGAGTTCTGGGTAGAGATAACTGCCAAGGATAAAACTGCATTAGACCTTGCCAAAAAAATTAAAACAAATAACAGACTCTTCACCCCTATAAATACTAGTAAAAAAAGGGAAGAGGTGAAATCACTGGGGGCAATCTGCACTCTGTCCTTCTGCCTTTTTATTCCCCCTTTTTCCTTATTTTTAAACACTTACTTGCATTTACTAGTTCATTTCCAGTACAACTTTGTCATTGTGACTGCAGAGTCTACTGTGCACGTGTCAGTCTTTTGCCAGGGAGCCCTTGCTCTCAGAAATACCAGTTTCACAGAGTGAATGTGTCCCAGTGGGCAGCTGTATCCGGCCCACACCCTTCCCCACTGTGCACGCAGGCAGGGTTTGACAGCAGCAGGGAACCAGCAAAGACTCCTGTAGCCACTGCTTCAGTGAGAGCCCCAGTGGCAGACAGTTTCTCCCCAGTGTCTGGATCTGCCCCTCAGCATGAAAATGGCCACAGGTCACCACTGGCATCTTCTACCTTGTGTGAGACCTTCTGACTTATAAGCAAGACAACTTCAGTTTTGCTGAGCAAGAGAGTATCTTCTGTCATAGGAATAGTGTGGTTGGAGGTATGATTCCTACCAAAAAGCGCAAAAGTAAAGACTATAGTAGCCCAGTCCCCTATTGTTAGTTTACGGGTATAACCAAATTCAAAAGGTTCACAAGAGTTCCTAAATGAAGTAACGAGTTCCTTAAGTCGAGGATTTGGTCTTAATGATGTTTGAAAATCAAATTCTTCAACCTTCCTGAGCAGATTAATGGCAATGGTTATTTTGCTGTAGGAACTTTACTTGCCCAGTATTCTCCTCAGATGGACCAATAAGAATGGAAAGAAGAGCAGTAACAAAAATGTCATGTTGCAGAATCTATTAATTGTGTCGTGCAGCTGCAGAGACTTCACATTCACATCTTCATTTGTCTCAGTGAATAATAAATAGTAATCAAATTACACGGAGATGGCAGTATTGAAATATCAGCTGATGGATTCTTCCTTTGTCTTTTCAGTATTTTAAATTCATACTCTTCCTTTTTTTATCCTATTCCTTTTGAGCAGTACTCATGTGAAGGTTGATGTATATGTGTTATGTTTACTTCTACAAGACAGTTCTTTCAGAAGGGATTTTGTATACAATATAGCCATTCATGCACATACATGTTAATGTTAAAAAAAATATATAAAGCTTCAGTACAACCAACTAACCATCAGAATAGGTTACATTTGCAGAAACTTAGAGACCTTTTATATCTCAGTGACATACATATCAGTGCAGGACAAGCCTAAACCAGAAGCACGCCTAGTAAAATATGCCATCCCTCACATACAGCATTTCTGCCTCCCCACCCCGCAGTCGGTGGGGATGTGTTACGCTGTGGAAATCGCCTAATTCTTAATTTTTTTCCCCAGGAAATAGGCAAAAAAACTTAACTGGCTTTCTCAGGTTATACAAGTCTCACAGAAACTGGCAAAGCCTTCAGCTGATATGAGAACTACAGTAAAAAGTGTCTTGTAGATACACTTCCTTTCATGTCAACAGACAAAGAACTCACTGAGAATTTAAATTTCATCATCTGTGCTGCTGATCCATAGATTTCACACAATGCTTTAGAACTTCAGGCTGTTTTCAGTTGCTGTTTCTGGTGTGATTAAAAAAAAAAAAAAAAAAAACAGCTAACAAACCTCAACACAGCCAAGCCTGTAAAGGCTCAATTTTATCTGTTTGGTTTTCCAACAGATTTTTTTTTTCTTTTTTTCTTTGTGTAACAAAAATTTCTGGCTTTTACTATAACAGAAACAATAAATAACATTTTAAAATGTTTTTAAAAGAAAGAGTAAGAAGAAGGTGGTCCTGTGGCTTATGTAGCAAATTTGGCAATCAAGTTGCATTTGTATTGCATGTTCAAGGATGGTCTTTGAGTTCATGCCAGGTTTGTAACTCCCCTATCCCACCTTTTTCAATACCAAAATGAGGATAATCAAAAATAGTGGGAACATTAGAAGGTCTGATATAAATAATTTCAAACTAATTATAGATTTTCCAATTTGCAGATTATCTGTCTTTTGGATTTTACAGAATTACTTTTTATCATTATGAGAAAGAGAGGAGAAAATGGGATGGAATCAACTCTTTCTCCTAATTTTGACCATTTCAAAGCATATACCTGGTTTAGTGATCAGCAGGTTTTTCTCATGTACCTGTTTTTTAGGTTGTGCTGTCGATGGGCATCCAACCCCAAACATCACCTGGCTTTACTCTGGTGAGCCTCTCAGCCTGCGACATCAACTCCTGGCAGCAGGCCGGATTCTCCATATCCTCAATGTCAATGATTTCACCGATGGTGAATTCAGCTGCCTTGCTCAGAATGAGGCTGGCTCGCTCACACAAGTAATGACCCTGGCTATACAAGGTAACTCTTCAGCTTCAGTCATTTCACCCTGGAAAGCCCTTGCCATGCACATCCCTGCACTGCCTTTCTCATCCTGAACTTCTCCCCTCTGAATTCATCACCATGCAAATCAGGAAAAAGGTGTCTTAATGACTTTTTGCCATGGACATAGACTTGCAGGACTGTTGGATACGTTACAGTGTCTTAGGTTTTACTTTACCAAAGTGACACCAGATATTTCTGCCCTGCTGAGCACAAAACACACCTTCCTGATTCAAGCTATTGTCCATTGAGCCTGGACAATTTTCTTGTCCAGAAATTCAAGGCGGAGGTGGCAGAGTTTAAACCTCTTAAAACAGAAACCCCTGTATTAATACACAAAGCTCAGTGTCTCACAGTCCCTTCTTCCTTGAAAACCCTTCACTTGTAAAAGTTCTGGAACTATTTTTGTTAGTGATCTCCTAGAAAAGGTGATAAAGCCACAAGAACACTGTGGTGCAGCTGGGGTGGTGCAGAACATACAGCTTTCATTGCTGCAATTGTCAGTGATGGAGAGGGGAAGAATTTAACTTTTCCTTCAGTTTTGCTACAAAATTGTGCATGTGTTGCTATTCCCACATTTATCTTCACAAATGAGTGTGTGAACTGTCTGGTAAGACAGATGGTGTTTCAAAATGATAGAGTCACAGATACTGCTGGGAACTACAGCTAAACTACTGCTGGGAACTACAGCTAACACACCTTTAAAAATACAGATGCTCACTGGTATCTGGCTTCACTTAATTGCCATACTATGTTATTAACTTTCCATGCCTGATGCTTCTAAGCACCAAACAACTGGGTTTGTTACACCAAAGGCAGTCAGGGGTTTGAATCAGGTGCCTTGCAGGTGTAGGCATCTCCATTTCACTGTATCCCTGTGTTTCACCCTGCGAACATCCTGAACGCTCTCCATTCTAATGAAACCCCTGCTGTCAGTTTTCCAGTGCTAACATGCCTCTCCCACACTTCCTGGCAGAGTACCGGTGGTCGGTGGACAGACTGACGCCTTGTTCGGCTTCCTGCGGCCACAGAGGGCTGCAGCTGCCCCAGCTGAGGTGCCTGCTGGATGGGGCTGAGGTCAACACATCCTACTGCAGAGAGACCCCCCAGCCATCTCTGCAGCCCCTCCCGTGCAACAGGAGAGACTGCCCTTCACGGTTCGTCTGGCTCGTGTGGGAGTAGCTTGCGTGCATTTAAGATGCGCTGGGAGAGTTCTCTGTGCGGGTCATCACACGACTGCAGCTTCTCTAGCCCCTGTTTGGAGAAGTCATGGCTGAAAGGGAGTTTTTGAGTGCTAAATCGAGACAGTCGGGATTCTGTAGCAGTGTTAGTGGAAAACTTTGACGGTATAAGGTAGAAAGAGAATTCACAGCTTGCAGTGTCTTGGGTCACACCCTATGTTGGTCATAAATTTCATGCTTGTTCTTAACACTGAATGCATGGAAATTTTGTCACCCAAGACCTGTAGGATCATGTCTTTTTTGGCTTCATAGCAGTTTGCCCAATGATATAACAGACAAGAAGCTAAGTTTAGCAGCTATTTTGTTATTTTATTCTGAATTCTTTTGTTGCTTGGAAATCAATACAGGCAGACTGCAGCTGTAGCTGCAGCTGCAAAGTATTCCCTTAGCAGGGTGAAAATATCTTTTGTAAAATGGGCACATCTCATAAGATGTAGTAGGCATGAAGGGGGTTGAGTTCTGCCTCTGTTTGGAGTCTGCTAGACTGTGGTGGCTTTGGAATTGTAACTCTCTACCCTTGTAGTCCCCGGGTTTTCACTTACTGCTATATACAAATGAGCCAGGACAGCTTGAAAAACTTCTGGCTACACCTAGATCTTTCTCTGGCACATCTCAACTACTGTGTCCAATTTCTGACCCCTCACTATAAGAAAGAAGAAGGACAGAGAAGCTAGTGAAGCATCTGTAGTACAAGTCCCGTAAGAAGTGCCTGAGGAAGCTGAGGTTGTTTACCTTGGAGAAAATGGGGCCCAGGAGACCTTACCACTCTCTGCAATTGCCTGAAAGGAGGCTGTAGTAAGCTGGGGGGTCAGCATCTTCTTCCAAGTGACAAGTGACAAGAGAAAAGGAATCAGCCTCAAGCAGCGCCAGGAGAGGTTTAGATTGGGTGTTAGGGAAAAATTCATCATGGAATGGGTTTCCAAGCATTGGAACAGTTGGCCCAGGGAAGTAATTTAGTCATCATCCTTGGACAAATTTAAAAGATGTGTAGAAGTGGTGCTTAGGGGCATGGTTTTATGGTGGACTTGGCATTGCTGGGTTAATGATTGGACTTGATGATAGTCAAGATCATTTCCAACATAAATGATTCTCTGACTTCTCCTCTCACAAAGTCTTTTTTTTTTTTTTGACACCCTTTGGTGCAGAGTACGTCTTGAGCTTATCCAGAGAGTCAGTATAGTGTTATGCTCCCTCCATATTAAAAATGTCCTGCTTCTGCATTTCAGTATCACCTTAGCTGAGTTGTGTAAACATGTTTTTCCATATTTTTCATGGTGTTATTCCCTCCTCTCCGTTATTTCCAATTTGGATGTGTTATGTTCCCGTATACAAGCACTTTAAAGTAGTGAGTATCTCAAGAGAAATTTAGTACAACTTCCCTCATTCGACAGCCATTCACTCATTCAACAGTGATTTGGGACTTGTGTTAAAAAACGACAGTCTAAGCTGAGGCAAGGAGAGGTTCTAAGCAACCTGATGAGAAGTGGCCAGATTCACCACTCTTGCTATGTCTTGGGCATATTGCAAGTTTCTGTTTAATTACCTTTTAAAATATATTCCTACTCTTCTTTGCAGGCAAATGTTTTCTGAGTTGCCAGCTGAGTCATAAGAAAGAAACCAAAAGAGATTTGATGAAATATGAAACATGCTCATTAGCAGCAGTTTTCCTTGCTGTTGACAGTAAATTCCATGGGAATGGTTTATGTCTTTTTATACTTTCCCTGAATTGTAACACAACCCCAAATCCTCCCTCAGCTCCTGAGAAACTGCTGAGATGTAAGCTTGGAAATAAAAGTTGATTGACATGCAGACCAGAGCTTTATAAGCAGTGCGGAAATTGCAGGTTCAGCCTCACCCAACTGCATAAAAGTACCAGTGTTCTTGTTTTCCAGGTTGGGAATATGTTTGTTTATACTTGTTTCTGAGAGCACTGGAGTTAATCACCCACAGAAGACAGAGAAATAGAAATGGATGTCTCTCCATGGGACTGGGGAATGTCTGTTGCCTATTTTGTAAAGTAATCATAAACACTGCTGGTGAGAGACGTGATAGGCAGTGTTTTATTCCCAAAACCACACAGATCCTGCCAAGTATCCAGAAACTTAATGAAGCAAACTGCCGGCTTGACCATAAAACTGTTCAGAAAACTAACAATCAGTTGCATTCTCCCTATTCCTACCTAAGGCTTTCCCAAACCTGACTGTATAAGTGTTTCACCTAATGATCCTTACAGCGACAAAATGCATTAGACTATTATTTTCTGTTACTTACAACCTTTTAGCTAGTTGGATTGGATTTTTTAAATGCCAGTACACAGGGGTTCAGAGCCTCAGCCTCAGCTGGTAAATGCATAGTCTGAGCTTAAGAGGAAAGAGCAACAGTGTCCTTCCTTCCCTGGGCTGACTGTTCCTGAGCAATGTTCAGACTTTTCTGGATTATGCCAGCTGTCAGGGATACAACAGAGGAGGCTGGCACCAGCAGGACCCAGCAGGCTTTTGACTGTTCTCTCACAAGTTTGAAGTGGCTTGTGAGCTACTCCAGCAATTACACAGAGATAGTTTTCCCTACTAAGGAATGCTGCTGGGCTAGTCCTAGCATTGTACTACAGCTTGTGACCGAGGCCTCCATGGCACCGTGGTGTAAAGAGCTGACTTGCCCAACCCCTGTGCCAGAGCTACAAGTATTTACTAAGCCTCTAAAAACAGCTTTAAGGGCAAGAAAATTAATTCTGGGCCCAAAGAGCGTTGAGAAAGATAAATTCATGAAAAAGTTGCAGTTTTCTCAATTTTCATCCTCTGAACAGTTTCCAGTGAAAACTGGGGGAAGCTGAGGCACTGAGATGTTCCAGGATCATGCCCTAAATGAGCAACCCACTGTTGCCTGTCTTTGGTCCAATTGACAAAGACCAGTTGATGCTGCGGATCCTGCAGACAAGGCACGTGCCTGCTCCCTGACCTGCTCTGCTTTCTCCCCCAGGTGGATGGTGACATCCTGGTCTCCTTGCACACGGAGCTGCGGGGGAGGCCTGCAGACACGGCGAGTGACGTGCCAGCGCCTGACAGCCAAAGGCAGCTCCATCCCAGTGTCGAACGAGGCCTGTGCCCAGGCGTCCAAGCGCCCTGTGGACACACAGAGCTGCAACAGGCAGCCCTGTGTCGAGTGGGCAGCCTCCTCCTGGGGCCAGGTAAAGAACAAAGTGGCATTCCAAGGGCAGTCCCATAGTGTGGGCTAGAAAAAGAGACAGAAAATGAGAGTAGAGATTTTTCAACCTAGTATCTTTAGGTTATAGTTTTCAGGCTTTTGAGGTGGGCACCAATTTGTTCAGGTCCTTCTTTCTGTATATGATGCTCTGCTTGCTTGGATTTCTATAGCTTCTCACAATCACTAGAAACACACATGAACATGAACAGGGCTTTTACTGCAGACCCGTGTCCTCCAGCAGAATGGTCTGCAGCTCCTTGTTGCAGTGATTTTTGACACGTCTGGGAAATAGCGTTCTTCAAGTCTTAATTCCCCTTACCAGCCTGTGAGAGTGCTTCAGTCTTGACTGGCTGGATTCAGGACTGATGATTGTGATAAGGTTGAAGGCAGGAGGTCTGTGCAATAATTCACTTTTACAAAGTTGCTGATTTTGCCTGAGAATACCAAAAAGTGTGAGCTTTCTTGACTTGCTTCATGATGAAAGGCAGAATGGAGGGCTAAAAGCATTTTCAAACTACTTCCTGCTGCTTTTCAGATCTTCAGATTTTCTCTTAGCAGATTGCATTGCATCAGGGTTTTTTATAATGTTGATAGTAAAAAGTGCCTTCAGCTACTAGAATGTGTAATTATTAACTGCTTGAAAACACCTTTGTTTAAATCTTGAAAGGTGACTGAGTTATTGTAATACAAGTTAAGCTTGGAATTATCACTTTATATCAAAGAAGAAAATTTTCACTCCCTATGAAATTTCAGGAAAGGATTGGATCATCTTTGCAAAAACCATTATGGGCTATATTACTCCCCATGATATCATTCTCAGCTGAGACAGTCAGTTCGTTCAGAATTAATTTCTGAATTTTAGACCTAATCTCTATGCGTTGTGATATAATATTTATTCTACCTAGCTTACATAAAAAAGGGTTCAGGTTCCACGTGGTTGCATACTGCCTAGTCTCCAAGCCAGAGGGTTATTATACATAGTTAAGAATGTACACTGGTTCAGTAGTACATTGCTTGGTGGTATTATGGGGTATCAGCTCACCCATTGCACAAGTGTAGCAATCAGCTTTCCCAGCTCACAAAGAAAATAAACAGCCTACCTGCTCTAGCCCTATCTCTAGAATTAGTTCCTCTCCTTCATTTAATGTTCCTGGCATTTTGTTCTCCACTGTGTAATCCCATGGTGTTTTAAGATAGTGATTGACACTAATGACCCCTTATTCAACCTTCAGTTTGTTCTTTGATATAATTTCCAGACACTTAGAAAAACCAGTTTCCAGTAGTTGATGCAATTTTAAAATAGCAGAAATACGTACTTCATACCTATACCAAGTTATATTTTAATTAAAGGAGAGGATTAGGAGAGTTAAACTGAAATGTAATTGTTAAGCTTGAATATGTTAGGATGGCCTTAATTTTGGAGAAAGCTTGCATATCTTTTGTGCTCCTCATGCTTCCTGCTTTTGTTTATTGTCCTTCAATGCTTTTAAATTTTTCAATTGAGTGGAATATGTCCTTGGTTCAATGCATTCTTAGTTACTTGGCCAATTCACATGCTGCAAAATGCACAGTAAAAGTAATGTATTGAGATTTCCTGTATGGATCATAGGCTCTTGGCTAATGGCATGACAGCATTTAATTAACCCAACAGATGTATTTAAGATTAAGCTATTGAAGAGAAGACTTAATGAATCTAGAGAGCAGATACAGAAATGTAGTTTAAATGCTGCTGGAGGAGAGTGAGGTGGAGCAGAAAATGGCGGCACAGTCAGCCTTCAAAGCGAGCAGAGTCCAGAAAGCAGCTGAAACTTCTTACTTTCTCAATAGTCTCTGAATGGCAGTATGCACTTTATTTCACTAGCAGTTTTATAGAAAATGGAACTTGCCCTGTCTTTTACCTCCCCTGAATAAATTTTCTGTGTTTGCAGTGTAATGGGCCTTGCATTGGACCACGACTGGCTGTACAGCACCGGCAGATATTTTGCCAGACCAAGGATGGGACTTCTGTGTCATCTGATCAATGCAGTTCCTTACCAAGGTAGGTACCAAGAAATGTGTTATGTCTGAACCCACAGCCCTTTTCAGAGATATTCAATGCACTAGTGACTTAACTGAAAACTTACGGGTTTCCCCTATGTGGTAAAGAGGTCATGCTGCAACCTGTACAGTATGTGTAACAAATCTTTTCAGGCTTACAGCCTGGAGTTCCCTATTTACTCCTAGGAGCTTCAGGCCTGTTGGCCAAAAACTGGAAAATCTTCTATGCATGCCAAATCCTGACTACAAGTCTGTGCTATATCTTCTTAAGATGCCAGTCTTCTCACTTATTTAAACACAAGCTCTAACAGAAAGCAAAGGTTTAGTTTTCTTGCAGGTTTTGTTTTCCTGCAGATGAACTCCACTTTCAACATTGTAATGACGTTTGCTTTACATGAGACAGGTATACAAATTATGATTGATCATGACTGAATATTAATGCAGTTGGCTTGTGGGCTCCCACTCTTGGTTTTTCACTACCTGTGTGACAAACAGATATGAGCCAAGTGTGCCTATACATCCTCTGTGAGACTATCTTCTGTTTTATTCTGTAAAGCCATAACTGACTGTAAAGCCATAAAAAAGTTACAAATCCTGCTGGACCACATTGGTCACCACTCATTTCACCTTTTAGCAGATCTCTGGTTTGGCCCTTTGTGGAGAGGGCATTTCAGCCAAATCCTCAAACAGTTCAGATGGTCATTTAACCTGATGTTGGTATACCAATGTGCACCCACTGAAGGTCCCTTGAGAGCAGTCCAAAAGAGCTGGCCTCACCTGGCAGCCTTGGAAGATCTGATCCACGCAGTACTCTGGGTGAATTACCTTTGGGATATGACACACAGGTGGATGTCCCTTCCTCCCTCCTCCCACAGGCCATTGAGCACCCAGAACTGCTGGACAGATGCCTGTGGCGTGCACTGGAGGGTCAGCCTCTGGACCGTCTGCACGGCCACGTGCGGCAACTACGGCTTCCAGTCGCGGCGCGTGGACTGCGTGCACGTCCGCACCAGCAGGCCCGTCATGGAGCACCACTGCTCCTGGAGGCCCCGACCAGCAAACTGGCAGCGCTGCAACATCACACCCTGTGAAAACGGTACTTGCCTCAGGGGAGGGAGGGAGGGAGGGAGGGAGGGGAGGCTGCTGAGTGGCACAGGAGAGTCGTCCCTCAGAAGCGCAGCACTGGACCTTGCAGCTGGGCATCCTGGGGAACATCCAGCCCAGCCCTGTGCAAAATGCAGTGTCTAAAGCTCAGCATCCCAGAGAGGGGATGTTCATCAAGTCGATCAGAGGGATGGAGCACCTGTCATTTGACAAAAGGCTGAGGGAAATGGGATTGTACAGCTCTAGTTTTAGGGTTGTGACCCACGTGTGGACTTCCAGTACATGAAGGGAACTTAAAAGAAAGATGGGGCAAGACTATTTACAAAGCCGTATAGGGGCAGAACAAGGGGGCATAGGTTCAAATTGAAACAGAGTAGTTTTAGTTTAGATATTAGGAAGAAATTCTTTACTGTGGGGGTGATGAGACTGTGGCACAGTATTGGAATATGAATCCCAATATTACCAGGTAGATTGTGCCTGGGCTTGTCTGACCCTTGCTGCTAGGCCAAAGGCGGCAACTGTAGTATTTCACCTCAGACACCTTTGGCTTGCTGGAAGTTGCAGCTGGGCAGTGAACAAGTCCAGGCTTGTAGAAACTCAGTTTACCTCTGGCGGGAAGGCTTCAGGCGATGGTGAAGAGAAAGGAGACAGATTCTGCCGGAGGATTAATATCCAGAGTATTATTCCATGGTCACAGAGGTCTGAATGTCAGATAACAGCTCCAACAGAATGCTGACCGCATGGCCTGATTGACCCTTTAAGCTCCGGGACAGGGGAAGGGGAAGGGACAGGTGAGCACCAACCAGGTGGGAGGGGCAGGGTCTCAAGGGATGAGGGACACCTAGACAGGCCAATGACCCCAGGCCTGAAGGGCATCCTTGGAACTTGACCAACCATACAACAACCTTGCTGGAATGTTAAGCCTGATTGACAGAACTCACTCAGCAAGGGGGCGAGGGGGAAGGAAGAGAGGTAGTGCCACACCTGGGGAAGGGACTGGGAAGTTTAAAACAGGATATTGCAACACACTGCAACAGCACAGGTTTTCCAGAGAAGCTGTAGATATCCCATCCCTGGAGGTTTTCAAGAACAGGTTGGATAGGACTCTGAGCAACCTGGTCCAGTAAGAGGCATCCCTGTCCACAGCAGGAGGCTTGGAGCTACATGATCAAGGTCCCCTTACAATACAAACCATTCTAGGATTCTATTATTAACCTTCCATTAATGGTACAGACAGAAGGAAAAATACAAATCACAACCAGACTAACAGTTGTAATACAAATCCAGTGGGTATGTGGATGATGGGAAATCCTGCAGGCAAGACTGCTTTCTTTCAGATTACAAACAACAAATTGGGCTTGTCAGGGAACTAGAAAAGTTACTAATTTGAAAAAAAATGAAATGAACAAAAGAGAAAAGACAGCATGCTTGTTTGGAAATTATGCTTGTGTCCTCTATCTTGCAAGCCAGTAGTTTTGCAATCATTGCACATGCCGTAGCAGAACCCACATGTGCTTGCCTATATTCACACCAGCTCTGATGCCCCCTCTCAGCAAATTGGACTATGAGGTCCAAACTCATGAGTTTGGAGGGCCCTAATGGGAGCTGAAGCAATGAGGGAGATTACAGGTGTCAAGCAGGACCTTTGCTGATGTTCCAGCCTCTTTCTGCTATACAGAAGTGTCCCAAATCCCAGGGGCATGCAGGGATACTGGACAGTTTTCCGAACTAAAAAGCAAGAGGCTATGGGTCTCAAAAACTGTACAAGTGGTACCAGAACCTAAGCCCTAGAGGAGTTCAAAAGGTGTTTTAACATCTTCATGGTGAGTGGTTTCTGACCTGTGAAAAACTGAAAACAACTCCCAGTCAGCTAGGGTGACACTCCCACACATTGCACATTCCTCAAGTGTGCAAAGCTGGCCAAAGTGTCCCTGCCTACTAAAACAAGTATCCAGTTTAATTTAGTTTTTCATCTTTGGTTTAACTGTTAGGAAACTCCTACAGCCTCTCTAAAATGCTGATGACAAACTGGCAGTGTTGGAGCAGCTCCAGGAGCCCTTTCCCCAGGCTCTGAAAGTAAATGTTGCCTACCAATTCTTCACTGATCCTGTGGACTTGCATTTGGTCTTTGCAGCAAGTCAAGCTCATGCTCATCGTAAGACTTCCCAACACAAAGGTTCTGCTCTTGGCCACCCAAGGATATATCTTCAACCTGTTCTCAGGTAAGAAACCCTTTGTTCGTAACTTTATCACCATTTCTTCTTCTTGTTTCCCCTTTGGCAGTGGAATGCAGAGACACCACAAGGTACTGTGAGAAAGTGAAGCAGCTCAAACTCTGCCAGCTCACCCAATTTAAGTCACGTTGCTGTGGGACTTGTGGAAAATCTTGAAGACAGATGAGATGAAAATGGAGGAACAAGGGGATCACAGCCTTTTCTTCACTGAGCAAAGGCTTTTGCAGAAAATACAGATGGATGGAATGATCTTTTTCATTTTATTTATTTATTTCCCTTTAAAAAAAAAAAAAAACTTTAACAAATCATTGTTGTAAAGGGACTTGACAAGTTTTCCCTACTATGAATCTGGGAGACAGAATGCAGATAGACATGGTCATGAGGGTAGACCACAGAGTCAGAGAGACCCATGACACCAAGAAATGGGTATGAGAGGAGTGGGGCTTCCCCTCAATCTGTGTACATGCCTGCAGGACACGCCAAGAGATAGGAGAGGAAAAGGATCACTGTCAAAACCTAGCATCATATTACAGAATCACAGAATCATGAAGGTCCAGGGAGACCTTCAAGTTTATCTAGTCCAGCCAATAACAGCACTACCATACCCACCCCTAAACTATCCCTGGGTGCCACATCCAGACTCTTCTTGGACACTGCTGGAGATGGTGACTCCACCACCTCCCTGGACAACTTAATCCAATGCCCAGACAGTTTTTCAGTGAATTTTTTTTTTAAAATATCTAGTCTGAGCCTCCCCTTCTCAATTTGAGGCCATTTCTCCTCATCCTAGTGTTTGAAACATGGCAGAAGAGGCTGACCCCCACCTCATTATAACTTCCTTTCAGGCAGATGTAGAGAGCCACGTGGTCACCCCTGAGCCTCCTCCCAGCTAAACAGCCCCAGCTGCCTCAGTTTTAACTTATGGGATGTGTCTTTTAGATCTTTCACCAGCTCCATAGCCCTTCTCTGGATATGCTCCAGCGCCTCAATGTCTGTCCTGCAGTGAGGGCACCAGAACTGAGCACAGGATCTGAGGTGTGGCCTCACCAGCGCTGAGTACAGGGGGACAATCCCTGCCCTGCTCCTGCTGGCCACACTGCTGCTGATACAGGTCAGGATGCCATTGGCAACCTTGGCCACCTGGGCACTGCTGGCTCACATTTACTCAGGTGTTGACCAGCACCCCCAGGTCTCTTTATGCTGAGCAGCTCTCATCCCTCTTAGATTACCTTGAGAACACAAGCACGTGAGTTTGCTTTATAAACTTACTTGTTACATCCAAGATTGGAAGCCTTTTTAATTTCTAAACATCTCTCTCCTTCCTACACCAGGCAAGGGACATCCTTGTGATCTTTGAGGATCTGGTGTCTGGAGAAGTTGAACAATGTTCTGTAACAAAAGTGGGTCTGAGATATGCCTGAAAGTGTTTCCAGTTTGAGCTTGTGAGGGAGGATTGGGGACTTAAGGGTTGTGCTCAGCACAGAGGTGTGGTGGTGATGTAAATAATTAACCAGCAAAAGGAGAACAAGTATGACGACAGACTTAAGTACAGACCTGCAAACACTGTTCCCTAGAGAGCATAGGCAGGAAAGAAAGAAATTATATGTGATAAACAAGAGACACTTTGCATACTGCATCCTACTAACACTTATTTAGAAAAAAGGTCCTTTACTTCCCAAAGTTCTGGTACTTTCACACCTGGGGTTTTGGAAAAGAACTTGAAGTGGGTCTTTCTATTTTGTTAACATGAAATTTCTCTTTCCTGGCAGCCAGGCCTTTTGGATAACTGGTAGGAAAAGAACTTTATTCTGAATTTTCATGGTTGTTACTACTCAGTTGAAACAGAATCACTTTAGCATCAGCCCCATTGGACTAATGCAAATAATTTTTAAGAAATTTGCTCCTCTCCCGTTGCCTCCCACAACAAAACGAGTGCTATAAAGCAGGTCTTTAAGTCCATGTATAACACCCTGAAGGTACAGTCTAAAAAATGAGACTCAAACATCACACTCACAGCATGATTTTGCATGCAGGCCATGAGTCTTTCTTCCTAGCCGGCTGCAGTGGGTATTCAGCTGGTGAAGTGCTACATGATATTAGTTCCTGGACATTCTCTGCTCTGCTCAGAAAAAAATAAAATAAAATTAGAGGAAATCTACAAAGAATAGAGTTTGAGAATTGTGGAACTTTAGAGGAGACCTACCTGATCTCAGGTTTTGCTTCAAGACCTTCTCTAAATGAAAGATTGGGTTGTGCCTCTCCTGTAACTCCTGTTGGGGCTAGTGCCTTGTGGTGTATTTATGAAATGCTGTTCAAGTACTGCTGTGTGCAGCTTTCATGGTATGTGGATTTATCAGTAAAACTGGGGATCCATTATTGAGGTCAGTGTCAGGTTCATGACATTAATTGTCTCAAATTGGCTTACTTCAAAACATATCTGGGAGTGAACAGTCTTGGTAGAAATGGGTCTTCAAAAATAAGTATCAGTGCAACTTTTTATTTAAAAAAAAAGGAATTACTTTCTGTATATGTAAATGTATATCTTTTCTGTATATTTATTAGGATTTCTTGTATAAAAAGTGCAATATAATAATTGTACATTATTTTGTCCAGATAAAACTATTTTGTTTTTTAATCTCCCCAGAATTTTGTTCCTCTAAAATCAACAGTAATAGTGTATTTCTCTTAATTTTAATATCACTTGCATTTAATTGGGGATCTGCTTCACTGTGCACAGAGTGCTTTATAGATTATGACATGAGGGAGGGGTGATGTTTTTAACTTGTGAAATTATAATTATGCATGGAATGAAGGACAATTCCTTAATAACATAATAATAGCAATGATGATGATGACGATGTGATGGATATTTTTGATACATTAGTTAACAAAATGCAGCATGAGGAAGGATTTTCTTTTGTGTAAAAGCAGAATATGTTCAAGCTATCACATGTTCCATTGTATCTGTGTAACTGTGCACAGGATAAACACAAGGGATCTGATCTGGTGGGGCCACTGTGTTGTCTCTGCACAGTGTGGACTTAATTTCACATGTCTGTCTTCTGAATTGTGACTTGGCAGCATCTCAGTAATATAAGGATTATGGTTGTTTTTTAAAAGGATGCTTTCCTTCTCTAAAGAGAAAACAAAACAGCAAACTTGTATTTATATAACTTTTTGTACAAGTAATGCGGCTTTCTTATTTAATTACAACTGTCTGACGTGTTGTTTTTTAGTCTTAAAAACAAAAGCCAAAGTAGCAAAGCTGTTGGAGTTCTCTGTCCTTATTCTTTATTGTGATAGCAGGACACACCTGTTACACAAAGTACACATGATGTACCTGCCCTGGGGAAAGAGGAGATGTCTTATCTCCTTGTCAAAACTCTTCAGACATTAAGATTCTGCACCCTTCAGAACAGAGATATCTTGGAGATGTTTAATTCTCCATTTGCCTTGCGTTATTCTTATTTGTTAATGGCTATCCCCTATTGCTCTTCCAGAAGTATAAAGCTGGTACAAGGACCATGAAGATCAATAAAAGCATACTCCTTTTTTTAAGTATCAGTGCTTCAAGACATAACTTTCCTCAGCAATCTATGGCTTGAAGAAATACCTGTTAATTCAGTCTATCCTTACAGGTTGCTGCTGCCTTCAGTAATGGACCTGCCAGCTACCTGAAGCATCAGGTGTATGTGCAGAAGGAATTGTGGTAGTGGTCTGAATTCTGAGAGGAAAGACGAAAAAAGTTAATAAACATTTCTTCTTAAGAAAGAAAAAAAATAGAGTTTTGAAAAGTAAGCTGTTGCCCTTTTCAAACAAAAATATGTCTCTGCTGAAAGGGAACAGCAGTTTTGCCCTGATTTTTTTTACTGTTTCCCTTGTGTGATTCTGCAGGTGTTTTTTAGATACTTAAACTGCAGGAAAGTAACACCTCACCCAGACGAGCAAGTCAAAGACCGGACCTAGACTTCCAAGCCACAGTGCTGAAGGCAATGGGAGTTTTATCATTCATTTTCAGTAAAACAAGTAGTGTGTGTAGAATGAACAGGTTTGCATATGTTCTCGAAAGAATAATTATTGTCTCTTAGGTTTATGGCTTTAAGTACTTCCTTCTCAAGTCAAAAAGTGCTTGCAACCTTAAAAGCAAGCTTCCAGTTTTGCTCTCCTGACTAATTTTCCTCACAAAAGAAAAATAGTTCTGGACCAAACAGAAAGATACAGAAGGGTTCCCCACAACCTTTCCTTGTCACATAAGAGGGGTTCCCAGCCCCTCTTATGTGACAAGGAAAGCGCAGCTGAACTATTCCAGGCATCTGTGTCTGCATGCATGATCTCAGAAAATAGAAGCTATAGCCAGAGTTTTCCAAAGTAACCTCTAGCTAGAAATCTTTTTCCCTCTCTCTAGATGTAGTTATATGGACTGCAGTTAGAGCTTGTTTAGTTTTTAAGTTAGGATTCTTCTTGCAAACTACCTGTCAAACAAAAAGGCCTTACCATTTGTTTGGTGCACCAACATTGATTCGTAAATTTGATTATTCTAGATCAGCATCACCTGACGCCTTTATTTGTAGAAGAAGGTCAACCAAAAACTTACTCTTTTCCCGATTTTTAGAACCATAAAGTTCCTCAAAAGTATTTAATGTCAGCTTTCAGCAAGTGTCTGATCATTTTAGCTAGTAGTTGAGTAAATAATCTTCATTTATTCATTCAGTTACATAACTTTTAGCAGAGATGCTTTCCCGGTCTTTTGAATGTCAAGTTTGCTCCCAGATCAGCAGTGTATGCAGATGGGAAGCTCAGAACTGCTAATGCTAACTCTGGCTGTACATATCAACTGCAAACCACAGCTTGGGGATCATCGATTTAACCACTCCCTTCATCCTCTTTTACAAATATATATATATATATATATATATATTTATCAACAGTGTTTTCTATTAACTGTCCAGTTTTGCAGAAAGTAAACCAACAAGCCTGTCAAATTCTTGAATTAGCACAAAATTGAAGGAGGAGAAAATCACATCTCCTCCTTCTACTGATCTTTACTGATCTTACCACATTTCTCACACCAAAGCATACTGGTTGATGGCTATTTCACGTACATTGCTTTTCATCATCTCCAGCCAACAATTCCTGTGCATTCAGAATCAAATCTAAAATCTGGTCATATACATAGCTATTTTTAATATTTTTAAATATAATTTTTTCACTAAGGCATTTCAGTAATTGCAACCCAAGTAATCAAAATTTATTAGGGGAAAAGATACATATCAGCAACTCTTTATCCATTTGAAATACATATTTATATTTTCACCTGCTTTTTCACTGAAGTGCAATACTTGTTGCTACGCCAGAGGCATCATTCTTGTCTCACAGGGTGCCTCCACACTTGCCCAGACACACAAATACTCAGGTATCCATTGACAGACCAGGCTAATTTTGGCTAAATCTGTGAGATTTTAGGAGGGGTATGCAGCAGGGCAGGCAGGACTGCATGAGCTGAGGCCTCAGCTGAACAGAGACTGAGCAGGAGACTCCTCTCTGGAAGCAAAGCAAATTTGGGTTTCACTTCTCTAACACACTGCTTATCTCTCAGGAGAAGGGAAAAAGGGAAAAGCAACAATTTTGTCTAGCCTTTAAAGCCTTTGCAAAGAAAGGCTTTATATTTCTGTAGCTATAAATAAAATGCTGTTTTATGCAGCTAAAGAATGCTGTTTTATGCAGCTAAAAGGGAAAGGCACACCAGAGGGTTGGACTCTGGTTACATATAAATACTGGCTTTTTTAAGCAGTGGCAGGATGTTAACAAGTCCATAATAAGCATGTAGTTATCTACACATGCTTAGGATGACATGGGCATGGGAAACTACTCACTACCACTGCTACACTCTTTAGTGCTATAAAGTAGTCTTCTGCTTCAAGATCTTGCATGGTTTGTGTAAAAACTCCCTAGGGGCAGTGGGAAAGTGCAGTAATGGACCAGAAGGATCACACCAGAGAAGCCATATAGAGCTTGCTCTCCAAGTGAGGAGCCAGGACAGATTTCTCTTCTCTTAAGGAAGTGTTTGATGGTTGGACTGAGAAATAGTTTATTTTGGGCTATAGGCAGACTTCCCCCCACTTGCTGGTTGTTTTGGGATTTTTTAAAGCATAAATTACTGGTTTGACCAATAATGTTGGTGAATGCTTGTTAAAACACTTCACCTTCAGAAACATTCCTGGAGTCAGTTTTCAAGTAATGGCATACAACCTAGTGATTTTATTACCAAAAAAAAGAAAAATCTCACTGTTAACCCACTACATACAAATAATAGAAAATCAAATCCAGCTGTGCAGGGAGGATCTCACATGCACTTTATGTTTTCTTTTAAGCAGAGAGCAAAGCAGAGCAGGGGCCTGCTTGCCCAGCAAAGCAGTGTGCTTGAGCCTGTGTCGTGGTGTTAGGCAGTGCCACGTGAGCCCTCTCACCAGTCGGGGGACAGCTCTCACCAGCAAGCACAGAACCAGTGAGATAGTGGAAACAGGGAATGCAGAGATGAACACAGCATTGCCATTTTTAGAGCTACTCTGTTCCTTCTCTTCTGAATGCAGACAAAAACCTCTGTGGGACAGACATGCAACAACATAGAAAAGTGAAAATCATATTGCCCCAAAGGAGTATTTCCCCAAAAGACCAGAAGAGGAGAACAGGTCCTCAAACAACTGCTTCCAAAGGGGGAAGGAGGCAGAGAGACATTACTACAGAAGGCAGAAGACTCATTTTTAGAGGGATCAGCCAAAAGTGAACTCTGTTCGGAATATTCATTATAGAAGTTTCCCATCCCAATGAACTCAGTTCTCTGTCTAAATGTCTCTTTCCAGCTGAGATAACACAGATCCCTCAGGGAGATCATATCCGTGCCTCAGGAAAGATATTTTTTTTTTGTCTTTCAAAGAAAAGGTTTGCTTTTTCACACATTAAATTCAGCTGCTTCCTGTCTCCTGAATACCATGCCCAAGATCTATATTGCTTCCCTCTGTGATATGAACACACTCAGTTCTTGCTGAAGCATACCACTTATCTTTCAAGTCCTGAAACACCTGAGGTGCTGACAATTTACTCTCCTTAGTAATCTATACTTCACTAAAGGGTGAAGACTTTTTTAGAATTTGTGGTAAAGTTTTTCACAAATTTTCTGCTGGTTCATATTTCTAGACCATAAATACATAATTTACTGGGGTTTTTTGACCTCTCAACTATTGCCAACTGCATACCTCCAGATGAAATGCCACCTGCAGATATAAGGTGGCAAGATATAAGGCACCAAGGTTGGTAGTCCTTGCAGACATAGGTGGTTGAAAGACTGATATAATACAAGTCAAAACTGAATTATTATTTATCTCCCTCATTATTACAGGTAACTTCTGGGGTTGTTTCATTTTGTTTCTCACTGAGAACAGACAAATTAAATAATTTTGCTCAGCTTTTTCCCTGTGAGGAACTGTAGTGCTGCTTTCCTCCTGGCTATGAAAATATTCATAACCTTCTGTCAACCTATTACACTTCTAAAATTTAATTTGCACATCTCTCCTTAATTCAGCTTTTGGGCTTAAGGCTTGCCAAACAGATTATGCTTTGCCTGGAGATCAGTAGTGCTGGTGAGTACACCTCCTGTGTATTTTCAGGGGTGCAGGCAGAAGCTGTCCCTCCAAGCAGCCTCTGCAGTGCACATACATGAGCCTGTTCCTGTGCATAGGTGGTGTTTGTCATTGACAACAGTTGCAGTGTAGTAACTGACTTCAACAGTGATGTTTTTCATCCATTATTTACTTAGCACAATCCTCCTTGTTCTTTTTTGCATGCTTCATGGTGTAAGTACCCTGGATGCCTTTTTCAACCCTGCCAAGAACAAAGTCCCTTTGTTTCATCCTTTCATTTTGGTCTTTGAAACACTTTTTCATAGCAGGCTTTGTACTTCAGCCAGTGTTTAGGTATTGATGCCATTATCCAGTCTTCAAAAGTAGGACATTGACTACAGCTGTTTCCTTCTTTCCACACATTTGTTCACTGAGTGAGAAGTGTTGTATTGTGCTGCATCATGAGTGCAAGGTCACAGAACCACAGGACAGGACAGGTTGGGGCGTCATCTGCTCTGACCTCCCTGCTCTAGCAGGGCCATCCCAGAGCACATGGCACAGGATTGTGTCCAGACTCAGTGAATATCCCCAGTGAGGGAGACTCCACAACCCTTCTGTTCAATCAGTGCTCGGTCACTGCACAGTAAAGAATCTCTTCCTCATGTTCAGGTGGAGCTTCCTGTGTGTCAGTTTGTGCCCATTGCTTTTTGTCCTGTCCCTTGGCACCGCTGAGCAGAGCCTGGACCCATCCATGGACACCCTCCCTTCAGATACTCACAGACACTGATGAGGTCCCCTCTCAGCCATCTCTGCTCGGGGCTGAGCAGGCCCAGCTCCCTCAGCCTTTCCTCCCAGGAGAGATGTTCCTGTCCCCCCATTATCTTTGTCACCTCCACTGGACCAGCTCCAGCACCTCTGTGTCTCTCTGGTTCTGAGGAGCCCAGGCAGGTCGTCTTTTTGAGCTCCCTGCTCTCCCATAAAACAGGCAAAATCTCTACAGAGCACCTGAGAGGTTTCTGAACAAGTTCCTGCTTATCTAGCACTAGCAGCTGGTGCTGCCATGCGTGCAGGTAGTTTCATTCTCCTCCTCCTGCACTGTGTAACTTCAAAAGCAATTACACAAGCCTGTAGTGCAGTTCAGTGACATTTTAAGCTCTTTCTCAGAATGTCTGACTTCTCTCTTTCTGAGAATGTGATGACTCTAAGAAAAAATTAATTTTAATTGGCATGAACATCAGGTAAAATTAACTTTTCCTCATCTTTATCCGTAACTCATTCTGCGTGGAAACAATAACCAAATCCTGTGTACTGCAGAGCAGCCCAACTTTATTTTCTGTGTTAAACATCTCAATTCTATCCCAAAGTATAATTATATAATTTTTCTTATGCTGATTTTCTAATGACACTGCCTAATTCAAACAGTTAAACTTCAGACATAGAAAATGTTGCTTTACTTTAAATGCACTACTGAGCAAAGGGAGGACTGCCAAGTCAAGCCTGGGCTACCAGATCCCTGTGATTCTTCACTGACCATCTGCACCTAAGTTGATAACTGCATGTCTGTGTCATGCGCTCATTCAGGGAAATTAAATAAATGGGTTTTAATCTAACTAAAATACTGATTTTCACCCAGCCAGGTTAGTCTTCCGATTTAAACCATCATGCAGTCAGACAGCATTAATGTCATTATCAAAAGAGGCACAATGGGAAACCATGCAGCTGTAGGAGAATAAAATGTGAAACTGCAGCAGCCCAAGCTTTAATCGGCCTTAACTTCTGTGGAACCACACCCTAAGTCACAAAACAGAAATCCCTTTTTTTCTGGAGTGTTATCATTTATTGTTTTTAATAAGTTTTTAACACATAGATGTACAAAACAGAAAAAAAAAAACAAAAACAAAAACAAACTAACCCACAGCTGTGTCTCATGCTCTGGAAGGATTGGACTTAAACCAGCCAGGTCTGCTTTAGCTGGTCCATAGCATGGAAAATCAAGATTCCCATTGTTAACACTCAAAACCCAGCAATTACTATTGCTTAGTCTTATCAAGCTCAATAGCAATGCAATATACCACTAACTTCCACCTAGCAAGAAAGATCCACACAAATCTGTAATAAAAATAAATGTAAATACTAGACTCTCCTTGCTCTGTGTTCCCTGCCAGTCACATATCAAAGAACTGAAAGAACAGTTGGAGAGCTCTTATGCATAAAAGAACAATCTTTTCTGCAGTCACAAGCCTCAGCTGTTTTTTCATATAAATTCTATTTCAGAATTGGCAGAATTACAGGTTGATAAATAAAATCAGAAAAACAACTAGTGAAAAAGAGATGGGGAAGAAAAAGCACTTTCTTGTAGAAATTCAATATTAAAGAAATGCAGATTCAAAAAGAGTAGTTGGTAAAGTAAGAGGAGCTTAAAAAAAAAAGGCCAGACATACTCTTGGTCAATACCTCACCACAGGTGAGTGAATATTTTACGGGTTACTGAATTTCTGAAGGCTGTGTGAAGTCATCAATGACTGCATAGTTTGGCCCTTTGTATAGTGTAATCTGTAGAGATTTGCCTCGTTTTTCCTGTGGTAAGGAGCATAATTTTTCATTGAACTAGGACATATGTTTAGAAAAGGCCACTAGGACTGATCCAAGGACTTCAAGGGAAGCAGAACCACGGTGCCCCTAAGGTATTGTTCCAGTGGCTTCCCACCCTCTGGGTTAAGCATTCCTGCTTTCAGACTGAATGTGTTTAGCTTTAACTTGACAGCACTTAGGAAGAATTTTTATCCCAACAGGTTTCAAAGATTTCCCAAATTTTTAAAATCCCTTTACACAGAAAATTATCTTCCTCTTTAAATGCTGCTTTAGGGTCAGACAGAAGCCTTTCATGGAATCATAGAGTCACATAAAAATAGAATACCCTGAGTTGGAAAGGACCCACAAGAATCACCAAGCATGCAACAACTTTACCTAGCACTTGAGCTACATACTCAGGAACAGCCAGAGCTGCCAGGAGTAAGGGAGAGGAGGATTTAGGAAAGTAGAATGTGCTTAAGAAGTCAGGAAGTTTCAGAGTGCCAATAGAACACTCATAAGCCTCCAGAAAGCACTTTGGACACAGAAACGAACAGTTAGGGTCAGAATCTTAATAATGGCTTTATTCAAAACATAATGCAACTCTGAGCTACAGCAACATGTGACAATTTCAACTCTTTGATGTTTCTGGTACCTATCCAGAACCCTGAAGTGAGGAGCTTTTACTGAAAAAGTTCTCTTACAAGACGTCAGCCTGGGGTGGCATCTTTGGCACACAAACCTCCCATCTGATAGCCTAGTTCTGGACAGCACAGTGACACAATTTATGAAGGTGCAATATGCAATAATATTTATATGGTAATTGTACCTTTTGTATGTGTCTTTGATGGGAATATAGGAAAAGGCCAGATATCAGACTCTGTTATCCAGCAATGACTTTTACATGTGACTTCACGTCAGGCAATTTGCCTGTTCCACCTCTGTTTTTATGGAGCCCTTTTCATCCATAATAAAGTTTATTACTAAGAGATCTTTCTATTACCGTCTCAGGAGGAGGACCTCTCTCAATCAATAATCAAGAGTTAGGTAGGAAAAAAATAAAAAAAAATACAGAGAAACAAAAATCAATGTCTTTTCCCTGGATTTTATTTTCTTCACTTGTATGACCAGAAAGAGTCAGTGCCAGGGAATTAAGTTTATTTTAGGAGTTCTCCAAATATGAAAACAGCAACTGGTTTATAAGAAGTTTGTTTACCAAACAAAATCAAGCTGTCAGCATCAGTTTTCTCAAAGATGTAACTGGGATGGGTCTTTGTAAGGGGCCAGGCATCTAGCAAAGCCCTTTGGTGTGTAACTGGCAGTGTAGGTTGTTTTAGCATCTGGGAGACTGTGATGCTTTGGGCCTGACCAGACAGGCTTGTAGGTTTACATAACTGTGAGAGAATGAGGTCCATGATGGGTCCAAAATGTAGCCAAGAAATCTATTGGTTTTGCTGGGAAAGTCTGGAGCATCAGTGATGGGTTTTAGTCCATTTCATAGCCAAGGCTTATAGTCTTCCTTCACTGTAGAAGAGCTGTTAAATGGCTCAGTAATTTTATTAAGCTGGGCCAAAGATCTACACATTTTGGCTTGCTTTTCATTTAGGTGCTTCCAATGTGTCCAAGTATTGGTGTGAATGTCCATTTTCTCCAGTGGAGGAAGATAAATATCAGGTTTTCTGGTGAATACAGGAGGCTGTAGTCAAGCTTTGTGTCTTTCCTGAAATTCAGTTGTAGTGGAGAAAAGAAGACAGGGGCTGGTTTTGTCTGGTATGGTTTTGGAATCTTAGCTGGCTGACCAGCCCACCCCTGGTAGGAAAATTTGTGTGTAGTGAGACCATCAAATGAAACATAATTGACCTTGTATATCTGAATTTTATGGACATAATGTTTCACCAGAGGAGATGGCACATCACAGAATCACTAATTTGGAAGAGACCTTGAAGATCATCGAGTGCAATCCATGCCCTAACACCTCAACTAAACCATGGCCCCAAGTGCCACATCCAACCTTTTTTTAAACACATCCAGGAATGGTGATTCCACCACCTCCCCTGGCAGACCATTCCAGTACTTTATCACTCTTTCCATTAAAAAAAAATTTCCTAATATCCAACCTATATTTCACTTGGCACAGCTTTAGACTGTGACCTCTTGTTCTGTCAGTTGCTGCCTGGAGAAAGAGACTGACATCCACCTGGCTGCAACCACCTTTCAGGAGATTGCAGAGAGTGAAAAGGTCACCTGTGAGTCTCCTTTTCTCCAGGCTGAGCCACCCCAGCTCCCTCAGCCGTTCCTCACAGGGTTTGTGTTCCCAGCCCCTCTCCAGCCTCGCTGCCTCCTCTGGATGCGCTCAAGCGTCTCAAGGTCCTTCCCAAACTGAGGAATCAGAGCTGGACACAGCACTCGAGGTGAGGCCTCACCAGTGCAGTACAGGGCAAGGGTGACCTCCCTGCTCCTGCTGGCCACACTGTTCCTGACACAGGCCAGGAGCCATTGGCCTTCTTGGCACCAGGGCACACTGCTGGCTCATGTCCAGCCGGCTGTCACCAGCACCCCCAGGTCCTTTCTGGGCCCTGTCCAGCCACACCATCCCCAGCCTGTAATGCTGCAGGGGGTTATTGTGCCCAAAACACAGGACTCAGTACTTGGACTTGTTAAACGTCATCTTATTGGACTCTGCCCATCCATAATTCATCCTGTAATTGGTTATGTACTCAAAGGGAGCCTTGTTTTTCTGGCCTGGATTCAGAGGTTTACAGCTTTGAGTGGCAACAAGTCCCCTGTAGAAACTGTCATTCTGGACAATGGTTCTGTGGTAAAATTTCTCTTTTGATGGAGCAAACCCATTGTTTGGTCTGATCTGCTCTGTCTTGGTTCATTCTGTAACACACAGTCACCTGAAATGAAAAAGGAATCATATTGAAATGCTCAGCTGAAATCCTTTGACAAGTCCAGCCATATATCAATATTATGATCATTACACTTTCCATTTCAATAAATATTTGTTTGTGGTGTAATGTTTCACTACTCTTATTCAAAGAGCAGCTGTAGAATACATTATACACTACTGTGTTACACCCCGAAACGCTGTGCATCTACACAGAAAGTTGAATCAAACAGACCTGTACCCACTCATGCCTACAGAGACCATGAAATACCACGAGGGAAGATTCAATTGTATTCTCTGCCTCACAGAGACATTTTCTGCAGGTAGCCGAGTGGGTGCCATCCTCATGCTCAGTAACCAGGAACTATGGAGGTGTGGCATGTAGCTACTTCAAACACCTTCCTGCTGCTGTGCTGTGGCTGGCTTTGGGCACAGACCATGCCTGTGTCTGCAGGAGGTTTGGATGTCTCTCACAGCATCTCTAGGACAAGGAGAACCACACATCCACTCTGAAGGCGGAGCTGCAGTGCCACCCCTCCTCTTTTTACCTTCTCACTTGGCCTGGTGGCCGACCCGATTCCTCCGCTGCTCAGCTGGAATGCTGCCTCTGGTTTGCCAGGTTCAGAGGCTTGCAGCTCATCTTGGTGTGAGCAAGCTCTGCTCTGTGGCATCTCCTCGGCCCTTGGCTTTGCTCTCCCTGATGCCCCTGCTCTCAGAACAAACAGAAACTGAGAAAGAACTTGCAACTCTGACCCAATTCTTCCTTATTAGAAAAACTGTGCTGAAATTTGCAGAATAAGTCTGCACTAATGTGAAACACTGAATTATATTGCAGGAATAGCCCGTATTCCAGAAATCTTGAATCCAAATTTATGACTAAGAAAACATTTTAGGTGGTATTTTAGGGACATTCATATGTTCCTTTCTTGACAGGATATCAGGGAAATAAATGAGGCCCTGTAATCTGAAAAGATTTGTGCTGTCACACTAGGAATCCATTGCAAAACTGCCTAACTCTTTGACCAGCACTGAGGAAGACCATAGTTTTTTCCCCTTACTAGTAATTTTGTGCAACTTTCCCTAGAGACCATTATGGTTACTGGTAGGAAGCTGAAATGAAATAGTCTTGGATCCAACCCAAGGGGTGGTTTTTGTTTTCTTTTTATAATTTTCCTTCCTTTCACACCACACTAAGAATCGTGAGGCAAATAGGCTTCCAACTGACTCTGCACAGGAAGGAAGTCTAGATGTCAAAGCACTATAGAGTAAATGATACCATTAGGGTATTTGTATCAGGATATTTGAATTCTTCAATCCAATCAGAATTTGGCGCTCCTGTTTCCCTTGGGAAGTAGGAGATGTCCAGGCACCACCACAATGGTGAGATGCTGACCGTGTGCCCATGCCTAGGGTACATGATTTTCCTGGAGAAACAGTCCAACAGGGTGAACCAGAACATAGACAGATGTGTTTTTACAGGAAATGCATTAATAAAGTGTTACAAAGCGAGAAGCTAATGAGATTCAGACCACCTCTAAGAGGAGGTTTGTTCAGAGATCTCACATTTCAGCTGCCAACCAAGAGCTACCAAAAAACTTTTCAGGTTCTCCCACCATCTTTGTTGGAGAACACTCTGTGCATTTTGGATGCAACCACAGCTCTTGCAAAATATTCAAAGTATGATAAGCAAGTCCATCTGTCTTCAATCTTTTAAATTTATAAGCTCTACACGTTTAGAGACCTCATAGGCGTTATGAATTTATTTTACTTAGTGTAAGCCAGCAGTGCTACTATTCCTTCAAAATATGTTACAGTTTTATTTCAACTCTAATTCTTAACCGTAGATATTAATAGTTTCCCATGTAGACAATCTTGAAAACATTAGGGGGTACAGGAGGGAATTCAGGATATGAACCATATGTTGTTGGAGGGTTAGGCACATCTCCTTATGACCAAGCAAGACTTAATTAAAATTAGATTACATATCTGAAGATAGGCAGAAACAGCTAATGTGTACACAGAAACATGTGTAGCCTGGAGGAGATGAGAATTTTGAAACTTTAAGTTGCAAAGTCATCTGACATGAACTGTGACAAGCAATAGCAACAACTTAACCCTACAGTGTCATTTGGTATATGATGTGTTCAGTGGGAAAGAACGTGACAATACAGTAGGAAAGGTAACTTAATACCAGAGCAGCACTATTTTAGATGCTGTTCCAATATTTTAGTTATGATAATTAATTGAATACAATGTTCTAAACACTTGGCTGAGGTGGAGATAACTTTCTTCACAGTGGCTGGTGTAGTGCTGTGTATTGGATTGGTGCTGAACACAAGAGTTGATAATACAGAGATATTTATGTTATTGCTGAGCAGGGCTTACACACCGCCCTGCTTTTTTGTACTCCATGCTGGTGAGGAAGCTGGGGGTGCTTGGGAGGTCGGGAGGAGACACAGCCAGGGAGGTGACCCAAACTGACCAAAGGGACACTGCAGACCACATGGCATCATGTTCAGTACATAAAGCGGGGAAAGGGGATTGTGGGCAGGCATTTGGAGTGAGGGTGTTTGTCTTCCCAAATCACTGTCACCTGTGATGGAGCTCTGCTCTCCTCTTGATGGCTCAACACCTTGCCTGCCCATGGGAGGCAGTGAATTAATTCCTTGGTTTGCATTGGTTTTGTGCACTGTTTTTGCTTTCCCTATTAAACTGTCTTTATCTCAACCCAATGTTTTCCAGCTTTTACCCTTCTGATTCTCTCCCTGATCCTGCTGGCAGGGGAGTTAGCGAGTGGTTGCCTGGGGCTTGGCTGCAGCCTGGGGTTAAGCCATGACAGCAGGGACCACTAAAACCTAGCAATTCTTAGAGAGTGGTGCAATGAAAACTTGCAATTTTTGTTGAATCTGGGCCTTTAAGAGAATTTATTCAGTATGCAACTCGATCTTTGAGGGGGCTTGGACAAAAATTTCCATTTGCAGTGTTCGGAAAAATACTGTAAATTGTAACCAAATGTGGCTGTGATACCTTTTATTAGGGCTCTGGAGTTACACTTAAGGTGCTGACCTAAACACTGAAAAAAGACCAAAATATACATATGTTTCAGATATGGAGAGGTTAAGGATATCTAAACACAGAAGGACACATCCCCACCTTGCATATAGCACCTTTTTTTATTGGTTTCACCAAAGTTATTCCAATGAATACCATCTGGTGACATTGCCTATGCAAAACAAAGTGTTCAAAAATGTGTAGATATGGATATTCTGCACCTGTGGGTCATAGTCTTCACAAATTCTAAATGGATATTTCCTGTGCGTTTGATGTACAAACTGCAGTTTATGCCGGTGCAAACATGCAGCTGCAAACATGCAGCAGTTAGAATAAAGTACAACTTTCAATCATTTCAGCCAGGTAATTTTAATGATGCATTCACATGCCTTTTATTCCCCAAGTTCTTTGATCATTTTCACTTCCAAGAAAATATTGTCTGTGTACATTGGGACAAATCTGCAGTAATAAGCACCAGTCATAAGCTATTATATTTGCACAGTATAATAAAATGAAATACAGAAACACACAAAACGGTTTATCTGCCTATCCATGTTAGCTAGCAGAAAGGTGATCAGAGGAGAGGTAAAACCCTCTGACTTTTTTTTTATGACTTCCTACCAAAACTAGGAGGGTTGCTCTAACTGTGCAAATGAAAGTTTTCTCCCAGTGCACAGGGAAGACAATTAGTGCTGCTGAAGAGGAGGGGAAAAGCTCCCAGAGAAACAAGCCACCAAGTTAGTGCAACTGAGAAACAAGGACATAGTTAGATGCACAGCTTACCTGTTTCACCAGCAGTAGAGCTCGTGCATTGTGTCTGTGCTTCTTGTATGCATCTCTTGTACATTCACAGAATAAATCCACAGCAAACACAAAAAGGGTCTCATGCTTCATGAGCTCCTCAGACCTAGAAAATTCTGTATATTTTACACATGCCTTATCCACTGAATGTGTGGATCAGCTATGCAGTACCAGGAATATGTTCAGTACATCCTAAATATAAAGATCCTGTTGTGGGATCAACATACAGGAATTCCCATGGCCCTGTTTCTACCGAGGATTCCTGTAGGCCTGTTAGGTATGGAAAGGAGGTGAATACAGAGAGATCTCAATGCTACCATTAGTGCTGTATTACCAACTACCTACTTCTGTCTGCATGATTCCTGCACAGCATGCTAGCATACATATAGAGAAGGAATAAAAACTGCACAGTCTTTGGATCTGTCTTCTTCAAAGTGGAGTTATCTGTGAAGTCCTGAACAAAGCTGCAGGGGCAGCTTACCTTTGTAAGTGGTTCTTATATCCATCTTGGTCCTGGGGGTATGTCTCCTCATCCTCCAGGACAGACATGATGATACTTGAGACATAGTGTAGGAGGAGGTAAGTGGAGGTCAAATCTGTATTCTCATGTCTCTTGACATGCTTTTCAGATGGTTTAGGTTTCTGTGGCAACACTTCATGTGCTATGTAATCTCTCCTGTGAAGAATAATTTCATTATTTCTTTTTTGTTCCAGAAAAAAATGTGCTCCTTTTTCTGGACACACAAAGAATTGAATACTTCCCCTCACCTCCCCCAGCTAAGAAAGTTTGGATATGATGCAAGCACTTAGTGAAATACACAAGCCTTTTACATTTTAAAACATGCTGCAAAAAGAACAGAGGCAGCTCTTGATAACCCCAGCCAGGCCAGGTTTCCCCTTCTTTCCACCCATCTCTCAGTTTTACAGTGGAATTACACCAGAATACATAACTCCTTTTAAAGGGCAATAATTATAGCAGGCTATCTACTGTGCATAGGAAACAAAGGAGAGAGGCAACAAGAGCCTTCCCAGACCAGGCTGGAGAGGTAACATCAGAACAGTTTTACAGCAAAACACCAGTTGGGCAAGGCAACATCAGCATGGCCAGTCAGCTTTTTCTCAGCTTTTGCTTTAAAAGAGCTACTTAAGATGCTGGGGTAGTGTTACTTAACTCTCAGGCAACCTTGCAGAACCACAACAAGACTGAGAAGAAAACTTGACCTTCCAACATTCATCATCCTGAACCTATTTCACTGCCCAAATCCTTTGGTACAGGGCAGAGAGTCTGTTGCCTGGCACAAGGAAATTCACTTGCTTACCTCAGAAGTACTTTCCCCACTGTGTGCATATCTGTTTAGACCATTGGCAGTCAGCCAGGAGAAGCAGTCAGTATAGGAGCTATTAAAGTATTAATATTGCACTTTGCTTCTGGAGTGATGATGATTGGGCAGGAGCCTGAGCCTCTGAATACACTGTATTAGTGATACATTTTAGCAAAATATACAAGGCGCTCAAAAGTTCGTGTAAAGCACAAGAGAGAATTCACTTTGCAAAGTATTAGGTATAGTGGTAAGAACAGAAATTCGGAAGTAAAAAATAACCAAGAACATCAAGGGGTCCTTATGTAGATGCCACACATTTTCCAGCCAGTCGGCATGCTGTTTTCAGCAATCTGAAGCAAATTTATTTTTTAAGAAGGCTCAGGGAGACAAGCTGGAACACAACAGACATTCACCATCCTCAGCAGCAGGGAGAGCCCAGTAATGGAGAGGGTCTTTCCAAGCCAGTCACTGCCCAGTTCCATATTTAAAACAGTCAATATGTACCAGAGCCAAGAAATGGATCACAGGTAGGCAGTACTTTACCACAGTGATGAAGTGTTTTCTGGAAGTATGAGAAGGGGATGGAGTCAGCAGAGTTCTATTGAAGTTGGAAGGGAGACGACCCACCTTGTGTTGGTCAGCCATCGACTCCGATTTATTAATCAATCAGTCACCTTTTATAACAGTGTTAATCAAGTTCATGCATATTGCAAAATCTGAGCTCACAATAGGTCAGAGATAACATACCAACCCCTCCTTATGTTTTCAATACCAAGATTTGGGTTCTCAAAATTATTCTTGCTTTCCCAAAACAGCCAAAGATAGAATATCCACTTGTTATGAGAAAGCTGCCTGAGAACTCTGATGTGCAAGGCTCTCAAGGCCTTCATGCTTGTCACTTTTACCTGTAGTTAAAAATAACCTGAGAACCTCTGCTGTTCACAGAAACAGGCTGTGAGAATCTGCTCCTCATAGCTGCCTTCTAGGTCATCCCTGAAAAAATCTCCAACAGAGTTCTACATCAGAATGGGTTCTGCGAGAGCTGAAAGAAGTCATCACTAAGCCACTTCTCCATCATTTACAGGCCACCCTGGCTAACCAAGGAGGTCACAAAAGACTGGAGGTTAGCAAATTATTACCCCCAACTATAAGAAAGGCAGGAAGGAGGATATGGGGAGCTACAGGCCTGTTAGCCTGATCTTGGTGTCAGAGGAGCCACAAAGTAGATAATCTGGAATGTCATTCTAAGGCAAGTGCAAGACAACCAGAGATAAAGCCTGGATTTGTGAAACACAGGTCCCATGTCCTGCTTGGCCAAAGTGATTATTTTCTATGACAAGGTGATGTGGTTCGTTGATGAAGGCTGTGGATGTGTCTGCCCGGGCTTTTGTAATGCCTTTGATGCCATCTCCCAAAGCATTCTCCTGAGAAACTGGATGTTCCTGGCTTGGACAGGTGCTCTCTTTACTGGGTAAAGAACTGCTTGGATGGCTGGGTCCCAAGAGTGTTGGTGAATGAAGTTAGGTCCAGCTGGAGCCCAGCCACCAGTGGTGCTCACCAGGGCTCAGTATTGGGGTCAGCCCTGCTTGGTATCTTTATGAATGATGTGAACAAAGGAATTGCGTGCAACTTTACTCAGTTTGCAGGTGACACCAAGCTGGGCAGGAGTGTTGATCTGCCAGAAGGTCAGAAGGCTCTGCAGAGGGATCTGGACAGGCAGGACCTATAGGCTAAGGCCAATGGCATGAAGTTCAACAAGGCCAAATGCCAGGTCCTGCCCTTCATCCGTGTGAGAGACTGAAAACCTGAAAGACTTAACCTGAAAGAGCTAATGTCTCAAACATTTGACAGAAGAGAAAAGGAATGTTACCATGCCAACAGATAAGATGTGGTTAGAAAAGAGGGTCTTGCAGAAGCAGCATAGTGCATCCCTGGGACCAGCTTCCTTATCTTGGGTAACTATTTTTAAGAACAGATTTGAAACCATGAGACCATTTAAACCCTTCTGAAAAGTTTGGGAATAACAAGAAGCACCTGCAGGGACCAGTCTATAAATGGTGTGACAGGGAGAAGTGAGGGTATGCATCCATCATCCATGCACCTGCCATCCAGAGGAAAGAGACTAGAGGCAGTACTGGCGCCCTGGTGGTAACACAGATCTGTTTTCTTTACTTCTACTTTCCTAACTCTCCCTCTTCCTTTCTTCCTCTGCTTAAAAACTTTGAATCACTGCTGCTGCAGGCAGTTCAAAAATCACCGTTGTTCAGAAAGGTTTCATCTGTGACTGTCCAGAAAAGTTTAAATCATTGCTGCCACAGACCTCTCAATTTACCATAAGATTTAGATCGTTCCTACCATAAGTAAAACTTTTAAATTAATCACACAGCGTTGTTTTGCCATAATTCAGCCCATGAGTGCTGAGAACATGGGCTCCCTCAGAGCAGGAGGTGCAGGACTGTCCTCTGGGGACCTGACATGTTACAACAGCCCAGGCAGTGCTGCAGGCTGGGGCGAGTGCCTGGAACGGTGCCCAAGGCAAAGAACTCAAGGATGCAGGTCAACATTGGCTGAACACGAGCCAGCTGTGCCCAGGTGGCCAAGAAGGCCAGTGGCATCCTGGCCTGTACCAGCAACAGTGTGGTCAGCAGGGCCAGGGCAGGGATCATGGCCCATGCTCGTCACTGGTGAGGCCGCTCTGTGCTCACTTTTGGGCTACACTCACTACTCACTGCAAGAGTAGTAAGTAGTGAGTGTACTCACTACACTATGTTGGAATCCCTAAAGTTAGAGGGTTTTTAGGAAATGGTTAAAAAAGTACAGGCCTCAGACTGAAGTTTTGTTAGCATTGCAAATACAGCAAAGTTTCCCAAGCAGTAGAGCATACCTGACAAACAACAATAGGCCTCTGTAGAATTGGCTTAAGGATGGCAACAAGGTTATTTAATGTATATCTTTGGAAGGTTAGCATGAATAGAGCTCTGTTCTTTGTCTCTTATGAACCAGTCTTTGTTTTAACTACCATTACGTGTGTTTTATAAGATTGGATAGAATGCTTGTCGATATGTGTTGTTCTATGTATGATTGGCTGAAATCTAGACTGATATAGTTTTATGTCATTCCTTATCACCCCACCTTCTCTGGCATTCCCTGTGGATCAGCGAGCTGTTAACATCCTGTCTCCATTGTCTAACAATGTTCTGAGACTGATGTGCTGGAAATAAAAGCAAAAAGCTCTTCACTGGTCTGGTTTGTCCAGTGTTGTCCATATCTGGACGTAGCTGCCGCAGCAAGTGGGTTCCTTTCTTAAGACGTGGGTTCCTGACACAATTGGACATATACTTCCCATATATACTGAATCCCACATACTACACTCACTACAGGAAAGACACTGAATTGCTGGAATGCGTCCAGAGAAGGACAATGGAGCTGGTGAAAAGTCTGAAGCACAAGTCCTAGGAGGAGTGGCTCAGGCAGCTGGGGTTGTTTATACTGGAGAAGGGGAGGCTCAGGGGTGACCCTATCACTCTCTGTAACTACCTGCAAGAAGGGTGTGGCCAGCTGGGGGTGAGTCTTTTCTCCTTGAGAGAATGACAAGAAATGGTCCCAAGTTGCACCAGTGGAGATTTAGAATGGATATTAAGAAGAATTTCTCTACAGAAAGGGTTGTAAAAGACTGGAACATGCTGCCCATGGGACATGGTTGAATTCCCCACTCCTGGAGGTATTTAAAAGCCATGTAGGTGTGGCTCTTAGGAATAGCATTTACTGGTAGACCTGGCTAAGTTAATGGCTGGGCTTGATGTTTCTGGGGTTTTTCCAGACTAAAGGATTCGCTGAGGACAAATGGGTGGTGTTAGCTGGTAAGACTTCAATAGCCATTGTCTTCTCTTAGGTCTCTTCTTTGACTCAGCAAAGACAACAGTGGTATTACTCAAGATGCTGCCTCAGATGACATAGAAAGTAAGCATCCACATCAGGCAACAGCCACCATTTGAAGAGAGGGAAGCTCTCAGATCCATTTTAAAGGATCAGATTCCTACTTATGAATTCATGAGTTCCTTCTGTGGACAAACACTTCAAACATCATTCTCCAAGGAGCAGGGAAAAGCCCCTGAACTCAATTCCATCAGGGTAATGGGCAGAGTGTGAGTATGAGGATTTCTAAGCATCAAGACTGGGAAGTAACAAAGCTGAGAAAAATAAACAGCCCAGCAATCCAAGAGACAAGCAGAGTTCCTCAGCGCTCTGTATGGGGAATGGTGTTATTTAATATCATTATTAATGGCATAGTCAAAGGCATCAAGTGCACTCTTAGCAAATTTGCAAGTGACACCAAGATGAGTGATGTGGCTGACAAATGAAGGACAGGATGCCATTCAGAGGGACCTGGACAAGCTCAAGAATTGGGCCAGTGGGAACCTCATAATGTTTACCAAGACCAAGTGCAAGGTGCTGTAGATGGGTCAGGGCAAGCCCCAGCACCAACACAGGCTGGGGATGAACAGATGCAGAGCAGCCCTGGGGAGAAGGATTTGGGGGTGCTGGGGGATGAGAGGCTGGACATGACCCAGCCATGGGCACTGCCAGCCCAGAGAGCCAAACGTGTCCTGGGCTGCATCCAGAGCAGCGTGGGCAGCAGGGGAGGGAGGGGATTCTGCCCCTCTGCTCTGCTCTGCTGAGAGCCCACCTGCAGGGCTGCACCAGCTCTGGGCTCCCAGGACAGCAAGGACATGGAACTGATGGATCAAGTTTATCCAATAATAAGCAGTAGAAATATTGGTTACTAACGTCAGCCTGCTGCCATCTTCTGGTAAAAAGTTCAGGCCATTAAACAACAGCAAATACAATGTCCCCACTATCTTGGACTTTTATCCCACAGGAAGACAATGTAATATTACTTGTGGAGTAAGTACTTGGAGAGAAACAAGAAGGTCATTGATCTCACAGGGATTAAGGATCCTTTTCGTAAGTCCCCTTTAAGTGACCCTTTACCATATATGCAGTAACCTGGACTGTCAGATGAACAAGGTGCCTTCAGCATCCTTTCTTATTCCACTTGCGTTACAATTAGGTACATTTTGATTTTTATAAAATATTTATATTTTATATAAATATTTCCAAAATTTCTATTTTGAAATAAAATTTAGGAAGATATTCATTTAGGCCTCCTACTTATGCAGTAAGTGAAAAAATTACTGCCAGAGCATTAAACTGTAAGTCCTTGATAAAGTCACAATTTTCTAACCACTAGCACTTCCCACTAACTGAAAAACAATGATTGCAAGAAATATTAACTGATGACTAATACAGGCTTCCAGATCTAAACTTCTAAGCAGCAGGAAGAGCACTTAGAAAAAAGTGATGAGTAAAGTTTACCTGCCTGACCAGTATTAACATACAGATTGTTCCTCCTACTGCAGAAAATCTGCCTAAAAAGATAACCAGCACAGCTGATCAACCCTCAAGAAACCCTTCTTGGCTCACACCAATACTCTTATCATTCTTCAGGATCAACAGCTTTGATTTGCAAGAACTGGCTGTTCATGCTCCCTGACTACACAAACTACATTGAAAAGCAATGTGTGACCACTGTCTCTGAGTCTCAGCCCTGGTCTTTACGGGTATGACTAGCTTTAAGCAATCCCATGTCCTTGAGATCAACAGAAAAGACTGGGTCAAGGAAGAGGAACAGGTTAGGCAGCACTTAAACAAATGGTACGCTTGGGTCCATGGAGTACCCACAAGAAATACAGCAGTATCGTAATGCAATTTTGAGGCATTTTCTCTGTGTTTAAAAGGTTGTGACAACCAGAAGAGGTTCCTTATGTTTAGGAGAAAGTAAACATCATTCATCACATGTCTTCAAGAAAGGCAAGAAAGATTTCAACCTCAGTCCTTGTAAAGATGGTTGAGTAAATAATCCTGGAAAATCAGTTCCCAATACTGGCTGTCAAGTGAGCTGGAGGAGATAATTTGGAGCGGTCAGCATGAAAGGGAAATCATGCTTAGGCCAAACAGAAAACCTTCTACAAGAAGACTGGCTTGGTACAGTCTTCTGTAGGATGAGGCACAGAGCAGTAGATACTGCATATCTTGAGTTTGATAAGCTTTTTGACACTGTCACCCACAAGAACCTCATCAACAAACTGACAGAAACATGGGCCAGGTAAGTGGACCCTGAGGCAAAATAAATAATGCTCTGAGCTGCTAGACTCAAAGAGTTGTGATCAGTGGCACAAGGTCCAGAGGGCCACCACCAGCTGTGATTCCAATGACTGGGAAATGGGGTAAAAGCTATTATATAGATCTTTATAAATTACATATATAATGGGATACATGACACACCTTCAGGCAGTTTGCAAATGACACAAAACTGGGAGAAGAGGTTGATACACCCAACGCGTGTGTTGCCATCAAGAGGGATCTCAACAGGGTGAATAAATGGGTCAATACAATTCTTCACTAGATTTTAGTCTGAAGGCCTCTTGGAACAATGACTGTTTCTATTTGTCTCATTAACTAAACTCCTTAAAAAAAAAAAGTGCGTAAATCAACTATTTAAGCAATTGATAATGTCCCAACACCAGTGAAATGATTGTGTCCTGGCTCCTGGAGTACTTTATAATACATATGAGAAACTTTGCTGCAGCTTTCTCTGACTGTATTTCTACATGCAAAGAAGTAAAATGTATACAGCTTCAACAGACAGACTGCCAGAAACATAAAACCTATGTGTGACTATGGATTAGATTCACACTTTGGGATGACTGCCTACACATAAATTAATCAGAAACTAGTCTTTGTGCCACAGAAAAGCACCAACCAAAGTAAGATCTTATTTAGAAGTGATAAAATGCCCACAAGAGACAAAAAGATATGCAAACTCTCTGCAGTTATACTTTTTTCTAGTTACACACAGAATTCCCCAGGTGTAACCCCATCCACAATCAGCAGACACAGCTGAACAGTTCCACACAGACTGAAGTGTAGGTACGTATCTCCAGGGAGGATGGTCTGAAAGCATTCCCATACAGAAGAGCTACCTCCAAACAGCGCCCCACTGGAGCTAACCCAGCTGAACTTTAGCACTGCAGGGGGTAAGACAGAGCTCTCCTACAGTGTTTTGCCATCACCAATAGAGTAATTTCTGCCAAAGTTTTTCTAAATGATGCAACACACAAGACTGAAGAAGAACTATCAAGCCATGAATGCAATTCAGGTTTGCTAAAAGACTCTCTGTCTGAAATTAATCTAAGTACTCATATTTTCAGTCCCTATTCATCCTATCTTCCCCCAGTCTGTTTTGGCTGGGCTAGAGTTGATTTTGTTCCCAGTGGCCGGTATTGGGCTCAAACCACTAATTTTGTAGTTTTCACCCTTCTGATTCTCTCCCACTACTTGCAGAAATTAATTCACAAGACTGTACTTGCATTTTTCAATGTCCAGTGAATTAGTGACATTTCAAACATTCTTTCAGGTTTACTTTTCAATAAAAAGAGACTGATGTATGCTCAGTACAGAGAGAACATACAAAGTACAGACTGCCAAGTTATGTGTTATCCTGTATATAACTTAAGAGCAATTTATGTTTTGTCACAGCTACAAACTGATCTTTGGATATGCCACTACCAGACACCATAACACTTGATACAATCACAGAATGGGTCAGGCCAGAAGTGACCACAGCAGGTCATTTGGTCCTACCTCCCTGCTGAGGCAGGGTCATCACAGAGCACATTGCACAGGATCACATCTAGATGGGTCTTGAGTATTTCCAGTGAGGGAGGCCCCCACAGCCTCTCTGGGCAATCTTTCCCAGTGCTCTGTACTGCACAGTAAAAAAGTTCCCCATGTTCAGATAGAACTAACTGCACATCTGTTTGTTGACTCTTGTGCTATTGCTCAGCATCACCAAGCAGAGCCTGGTCCATTCACTGACACCCTCCCCTCAGACACAGACACTGATGAGCTCCCTATCAGTTGATTCTTCTTGAGACTGAACAGGCCCAACTCTCTCTGTGTATCACATTGCTCATGATATAATAAATACTATAGAACTTGGAGGAAAAATATTTCAGGCACTTCATCAAACCTTTGTGAGCAATTTATATAAGCTCTGGCAAGAAAACCTAAGTATAATATTCCAAAGTTAAAAAAATGAAAGAGACCAAGGAACACAGAAGTGCATAAAGCTATCCTTTTGGAGCTTACACAGTAATAATAGGTGACTATAAAGTGTGAAATACTGGCTGCTCTGGAGTGCTGCACAAAATTATCTCCTCCTGCATACTCTCCTCTGGAAATGAAAGCAAGGTACTGTACCTTGCATTGTATTTCAGCTAATTTTAATACAGTGCACCTAACTTCAGAAGCCCAAATTACATACTTTTAGGAAGTCACACAAAGGAATCTATTGATTAGGAAATTCAGGAAGAACAGAATTCTCCAGGATTGATGGGCAAGGACTTCTCATAGGTATCTTAAGATATTTAACACTGCACATTAGGAATACTGTATTAATCTTCAGCAAATATCTAGGTTTAAAGAAGTCAGAGAAATACAGAGTTGTATTTCTGGCTGCTCATAATACCCTGCTGTTCTCAATTTCCCCTTACAAATCATTAAATTACTGCTCTAAATAAGAATTTTACCTAGAATTTCAAATTTATTATGATAGATTTCCAATGTAAACCTAACCAAAAATTACCTAAGCGTCCAACACAAACTAGTGGACAGGAGAGCTACTACTTACAATACAAACATTGTTATATTTAACTACAAGGAGGAAAGATTCTGCTTTTATATGTAACTCAAAATGTGAGGCAAGGTCTTCACAGGAAACTCAAGATTTTTAATTGCCATTTTTTAATCCCAAACTGTCAATGCAGTAACAACACAAAAGGCAGTTTGACTTTTCTAAAGATAGGCCACAATCTTATTATCCGCATCCTTATATGTAGCTAGTCTACAGCCCGTCTAGCTACCTGGGCAATGTTTGTGAAGTCACCAGTGCCAAGCTCTAGAGTCCACGTGTGGACAGAACACAGCTGTTCCAGGCAGCCAGTAGCTAAGTGGTAACAGGATCATAGAACTTAGGTTTGAAAATACCTTTGGCTATTAAGCAGCACTTCCCTCTTATCTTCTAATGTGTGTTATAGATATTACAGCTTCCTCAACCACCCACATGGCTTTTCACAGAGCCTGTCAAATTCTCTTTATAAGGAAGATGTCAAATACAGGTGGAGCTTCTTCTTAAAACCCAAGGTAACTGTTTTGGAAGAAAGGAGGAAGACAATCCAGAACATTAAAACAACTTTACTGTTGTTAAAATGCCTCTAAACACATTAGGTTAGGAGACAGTATTTTAAAACAGTAAGTTTTCCTCTTGGAATCTAGAGTTGTACTTTCTCCTATTACCACAGGGTCTATTACCTTTTACATCACAACATACTGTATATGATGTGATGTTAAAATCAAGTAGCAAGAAAAATCAAGTTAAAATCAAGAAGTTAAAATCAAGGACTTGTTAAAATCAAGTGTACCTGGCCTGGGTGGTCAGTGTCTGGCTAGCAGAGGGCAGGCCGACACCCCGCTGCAATCCAAAGCGAGCCCCCCTCGATGTCTGAGGGCCTCGGGCTGTGCTCGCCTGCGGACCGATCTCACCGCCAACATGGCTGGAATAAGGAGCTGGACTCTCGATGGGGTCAAGTCAGGTTTAATGTGAAGCCAAAGACGACAACCAGGGAGAGACCCCAGGGAGAGACCACGAAATGGGGGTGAAATGAGGTTATAAAGGGGGTGGGCGTACAAAGGAGGGGTTTACACTGAACCAATAAGGAAAGGTGGAGGGATGAACTTAGCATAACTGACATAAAAGGGAAACCAATGAATACAAAGTAAGGGAGGGGCCCTGGGACCACAGCCAACCACAACTCCCAGCAAGAAGATTCTGGAAAGTTAGGAGGGGTGATTGACTGGGCTCAGGGAGGAGAAAAAGTTCACAATGAGACAGAGTAGGGATCCGTCCTGAATTAGGTGAAGTGTCTGACAACGGTGAAAAGTCAAACGGCCAAAGCTGAAGGAAAGACTCGAATGCCGAGACAGCAAGGAGACAGAGAAAGAAAAACAGAAAAGACCACAAGGTCAATTTGCCCCGACCTAAAAATTCCTTTGATAAAGAAGAATTGGTGCTAAGTGTCATGCAAGATGAATATGTGTGAACTTATTTTGAAACTGTATGCATATGCATTTGGAAGGGGGATAAAAGGAGGTCTGAAATTTTCAGGGGTACGCATGCCTTTTGAAGAGAATTTTTCTCTGCGTGCGTCCGGCGCCGTAAATAAACATACCGAGCTTTACAACTTTTATAAAGTTGTGAGGTTTCTTCTTTTCTCCGCAAAACAACATATAAGGGAATAAGGGGGAGGAGGAATTATATAACTTAACTGACAGTTAATGCCAATGGCGGGAAAACTGGGAAGGGCAAAACCATTTACATAAAACGGGGGGAACAATACAAAATGGGGGAGCTATACAATAAACTTAACAAACACACTACTACACTTTAGTAGTAAAGCATTTATTGTAAAGCATTTATTCAGTAATATAGCTAAAGAAATATGCACTCCAGTGAAGCATAGAAAAAGGGAACAGCCTCTATCAAAAGGCAGAATTGATGGCAGTATAGACCAGAAATCTCAGTAAGAGAGATGAATGTAATGGAATGTAGAGCACCAAGAAAAATATCAATCTGTTGGGTTAAGGGTTGGGATGGGGTAAGAGATGTGGATTAGGAGCAAATTAACAGATTTCACTATTTCTCCTTTGACATCTCATTTTTCCATTTTCTAGGTTATGCCATTTACTCAATATCTGCTGTTCAAAATAAGCTTATAGTTCTGTATATAGAAAGCCACACTGAATGATATGAAACTGGCAGTGTCAGAGCAGGCAAGTGACACTCCTAAACAAGGAGACTGAAGTAGAGTCTCCTTGCAGACCAAAAGGATTGCAACTTCCCAATGCAGATAATGCTTGGAGAAGATACAAGTGAATCATAAATGCACTGCTCTGGTTATGCTGCTTTACAAATTCCATCCTGATGAATGTTCCTTCGTTCCCAACTTCCAACTCAACTATTCTTACCTGAAAGAGAAAACATACCAGTTTGCAATCTATAGTACTCAACTATTAAGACAGAAATACTGAAGCTGTTTCACATAAAGCATATATAAAATGGTACTCTAAGTACCCTTTGATAAGTACTCTCATCAGTTGCTAGCAACACGGCTACCATTCTAAATGAAACCTTTTTTGCACAAATAAATTACACTATTTCTTAAATTTTAAATATTAAATTCCAAGTACTTCATTAAATCACAGCACAGGTAGCATTGGAAAGGACTTCTGATGATCATCCAGTCCAACCCTCCGCACCAAGGCAGGGTCACCTAAAGCACGTGACACAGACATGTATCCAGTTGGATTTTGAGTGTCTCCAGAGAGGAAGACTTCACAACCTCTTTGGGTAGCTGTTCCAGTGCTCTGCCACCCTCAGTGTAAAGACTTTCTGCCCCAAGTTACGGTGGAACTTCTTGTGCTTTAGTTTGTGGCCACGGCTCCTTGCCTCTTTTTTGGGCACCACTGAAAAGAGTCTGGCACCACCCTCCTGACACCCACCTTTGAGATATTTCTGTGTATTGGTGAGATCTCAGTCTTCTCCAGACAAAACAATCCCAGTTCCCAGAGTATCTCCTCATGAGAGAGGAGCTCCAGACCCCTGATCATCCTTGTGGCTCTCCCCTGGACCCTCTCCAGTAGCTCCTTGTCTCCCTTGTGCTGAGGAGCCCAGAACTGGACACGGCACTCCAGGAATGGCCTCACCAGGGCTGAGTGGAGGGGGAGGATCACCTCCCTGACCTGCTGGCCACACTCTG